GAGAAAATAGCCTTTAGTAATTCTAATTGAAAAATGTTTCATTGTAATTTGTCTGAAAATGCCATGACAATTAACTTTTGTCTCTTCTGACCTTCTTTACATAGCTTTTGATCTGAGTAACCTTCGGGGAATTTTAAAATTTACTTGGGTAGATTGTTCTTGCTCTGTTTTCCATCTTTAGGGATTTTTTTTTTTTTTTTTTTTTAGTATTGCTTAGTTATTGCTTGCCTTGTTTCTGTTGAGTCTGACCTACCCAGTCCAGGGATTGAACTCATAATTACTATACCACTAGATTCTTAAGCAAACATTCTTCTCAGTTATTGGTTCATAAATTTTGTGGTATAAAGGATTTCAATCTTTGGGACTTACAGCCATATAGTGTTCAAACACCGGTTCCCATATTATCACTGAAGTTAAGCCTAGTCAGTATCTAGATGGGTGACCACCTGAAATACCAGGTGCTCTAAGCTGGGATGTTCAGGTAGTGTAATGAATAATGGCTGGAATAATTGGAAAGCTGAATTCCAATTCCAGCCTGTGTTTGTTATATTCACTTACATGCAAATATCCTTTGGAAAGATATGAATCCATCTCTTCTCCACCAGTTATGGGTTAATTAGTATGACTTGTATCACTAAATCATTATCTCAAAAAAAAAAAAAAATAATAAATAAATCTTACAATCTAAAAATATTTTCTGGCTTTAAATAACCTGCAAAGGGTTGATAAGTCATAGAAAACAAATCAATCAATGAAATACTGATTAGCAACAAAAGCATGTCTTTTAGATTTACTTACATTATCTGGAATATAAATGTATATAAACTACTGTGGCCACAAAGTGAGGGATCAGTATATATATATTGATTATAATATAGAATTGATCCCACCTCCATGCACACACACTTTATAATTTCTTATTTGTTTATCAAATTCTGATTAGGTATAAATCCATCTCTTCTCCCTCAAGCTATAGGTTAATTAGTAAGACTTGTATCACTAAATCAGTATTATCTCAAAAAAAAAAAAATTCTTACAATGTAAAAGTATTTTCTGGCTTTAAATAACCTGCAATAGGTTAATAAGTCATAAAAAAAAAAATGAATCAAATTCATCAACAATTCCTGGGCAAAGTAGTACTGCCTTGGACTCAGTGGAAACAGGATTAGCAATAACTGAGTAGTACTAAAAAAGAATATTGATAGCAGATTGAGAACAATATAGCCTGGAAGATTAAAGAAATGGTTTAAGTTTGGATCAACAGATACCTGAAGAAGGCCAGAGAGTACAATGGCCGAAACATAACAAAGATGCTGACATCAATCCCACTGTAAATGATAACTCCTCATCTCAAAATTTGAAACAGAAATTATTTATAGCTTTTTATTAAAATCATATACAAAAAATGAAACCCTTTTATTATTATTATTATTATTATTGGGAAATAACAAAATTTTGTATAGTGGCAATAACGAATAATTTCAGTTATATTTTTCCTGAATTTTTGATTAAATAAACAAAACAACAATTTTTCCTGATTTGTAGTGTATTTATTTTTGTTTTTAAATTTGTTCCTCTTGAATTTCAAGCAAATTTCTTTTCAAACATTTACAGCTCATCTTTCTTTATAAATATTCGGATTGAAAGTTTTTAAAGAAAAAAAATATTAAAGTTTTAGTAATAGTGACATCATTAAGCATTTTTAAAAGTAAATTTTATTTTAAAAAACAAATCACTGTAATTCTTCAGCTTATCTTTTCAAATAAGCATTAATGATTATAAAAATTAACAATACACAATCGATTTAAAGAAAAAAGTTATTGTGAGTTATAGAGTTACCTCCTCTTTTCATTGCTCTGTTTAAATAAAACGTTAGTATTATATCCTAACCTCCAAGTTTTGGCAATGTTGGACCTTCATGCTGCAAAAAAAAAAAAGTATTAAAAGGACTGTTTTTCCCTTGACACTGCTATTATTTAAACTGCCTTCACTCTTTAGCAATGTTAGAAATTTAATAAAACCTAAACATATAAAAGTGAATTTATAACTTTTCTTTCTTCTTGAAAATTGATAACAAAAATAATAAACACTATTAGATTGTTTATTGGAATGGTTGGCAAAACACTGGCTTGATTTGAACTTTATAAAATGGTAAATAAGGATTTCCTTATAGTGTTTAATAATTTTGTTATAAATTCTCAAGAACAAAAAAAAAATGTATAAATTCACTTTCATTTGTTTAGATTTTTATTAAAATTCTAATCATCGCTTTTTAAAACAAACTTTGCTGAGGAGTGAAGGTAGTTAAAATAATAGTGGTGTTGAGGGAAAACCACCCTTTTGACACTGCATTTTTTTTTTTTTTTTTTTTTTTTTTTGTGGGCAGAAAGATTGCCCAAGTTTCTTTGCCTATTAATTTGTTATACTTACAACACAATGTCAGTAGATTAATAGATTAGTGTTTTATTTTCTGGATATTATAAATCACTGGGAAAATATTTTAGCAGAATGTGTGTAGGTTCTTCTTTTATTATATTTGAAATAATAAAATACAGTAATTACTTTTAGTATTTAGTCTACTCATAGACATAAGGTATGTGTGTAGATAAGTCAGTAGTAATTATAGTAAGTATCATCCCTTTTAGTGTATTTTACTGGTACCTGTAAAGATTTATCCGTAAAATGATTTTGAAGGAAATGTTTATTGTATTTTAAAATCCATTTTATAAATTTATTTCTGCATATATTTCTTTTGTGGGTGATTATAAATGTTGTTAATTAAAGAAAAATAAATTTGTTTCCAGTTCTTTTAGGATTATATCTGCATTCTCTACTTACAACCTTCCCTCATAAAAAAAAAAAAAAAAAAAAATAAAAAGATGTTAGTGTCATGGACAGGCAGACATAGAATCAAGACCAGATAATATGAAAAAAAAAATACATACATAGACAATCTTTCTCTGTTTCTGACAGATTAGTAGTTCAGTGAAAGAAATTTGAAAAAGACATAATAATATTAATACTATTTATTAGGCCATTTGAAAAAAATAGAAGCATGATGAGAAAGATACTAAAAATTGGAATTTTTGGACACACCAGCCTCCTTTATCAATGAAAAGTAAAAGGAAGTTTGACATTTAAAAAAAAATGTTAATGTTGCAAATTAGATTTATTTTATTTTTTTATTAAGGGCTCATAGCCATTAGTAGGTGGTTGACCGTTGGATAGAGGATACACTATTATTTATGAGTTAGTTTCTATATTATTTAAGCCAAGCTATGGTATGTAAGATTATTTTTATATACAAGGTTGGGAAATTGTTTGTATATAACCCCCCCAAAAAAAAACCCATAATAATCCAAAATGTTTCAACTTTAAGATAACCCACAAAGTTGTTAAGCCTTAAATACAAATCAATACTCAGGTGTAAAACAACAAAGACTAACTTTTAAATAATATGGAATTCTTTATTTAACAGTCATGGTCACAAGCCCTTAATAAATAATTAAAAAAAAAAAAAAAAAAAAATTTACACATCTGTAAAACAAAAAAAATTTTCTAACTTCATTTTACTTAAAAAAAAAAAAAAAAAAAAAAAGGGTGTCCAAAAATTTGAGTTAAAAAATTTTTTTTTCTTGTTTTGATTTTGTCTAATAGCCGAATAATATACAATATGTCTTTTTCAAATCTCTGTCATCAGACAACTAATTTACATTATTCGAACTGTTGTCCTCATCTTTGTCATATTCACAATGTTTCAGACATTGTAAATTCTGACCTTCTTCAGGTAATATATGTTGTAATTTTGAGTCAAACCTTTTATTCTGTAAAATGTATATCACCTGAAGAAGGCAGAAACATTATTATGAATACAGTGTAACCCGGATATAAGAGATTTTCTCTGGTCCCAAATTAGAGCCTGTGTTAATGTATATATAATAGACCAAACCCGGATATAAGAGACTTCTTCTCCGGTCCCGACAACTCTCTTATATCCGGGTTACACTGTATAACAAAGATGAGGGCAACCGTCAAAACAATGTAAATAGTTACAATACCTTATCTAACAAATATAGACAGATAAAAGTTAAGTCCTAAATATAAGTTTTGTCTAGTTTAGATATATTAACATTTATTTATAACAATCAGATTATTTTTGGTAGTTAAGACTACTCTGTGTTATATTTTGCCCTGCAATAAAATTTTCATGAAAAGATATCGGTTAAGAAATATCCAGCAAAAATTTAAAAAAAAAAAAAAAAAAAAGTTTTACTTTACTTTTCTTGGGAAGTTTCCTTGGTTGGGCCCAGCCAATAAGGTGTCCCCACCCCTCAGTATTGGAAGACAAATTCTTAAATTTAACAAGTGTGAAAATATGTCTCCTTTGTGATGGGTGTTTATAAATCTTTATCAAAGTCAACATCAGTTGCCTTGCTCTTTCTTGGGAGTTTAGTATTGTCGTTCTTTGAGAGTATTAAGAGCGTATGTGGATGCACAAAACCTTGAAGAACCACAGGGGAAAGGAGTCATTACAACAAATAAAAATATAAACAGCAAAACAGAACAATTTTTCCGTTTTTTTTTTTTTTTTTTTTTTCTTTTTTAAAGAAAAAAAAATATTTTAATTGAAACTCAAAAAAAATTAAGGAATGCTTTTATCATTTAGCCATAATTAATTTTTAATAATTAATTATTTGCTGAGTCCATCAAAAAAAGGCAATAAGGAATTTTTTTAGTATTAAAACAAAAATAATTTTTTTTTTTAAAGAAAATCAACAAAATGCTAATAAAAAAGCTTTTTTTTTTTTCTTTTTTTTTTTTGTTTTTTTCATTCAGAGAAATTTCTCTTAAAAGTTCAACTTATTCATTTATCAAGTGTAACTTTTACACACAAGTGGGGAAAGGGAGACAACAAAAAGTGGCATTTGATTCAATCCCATGATGCATTGCTCATGAGAACGTCACTCGTCAGCATTATTATATTGTGTCCAGTCATTTCATCAGAAAATATTTTCGTATTCCAACAAAAGAAATTCAACAATTCGATTCTGGTAAGCCATCGTAATGGCAAGATTAGGCGCTTCAATTTCTGGCCACATAAGAGTTGGACCAAACACAATGGCAATGTTTTGTGCTTGCATTCGATTTTGTTGAGAGTGGGATATCACCCTGAAAGAAAACAAAATTATTATGTATTATTTATAAATTTAAGAAGTCATAAATACATCCAACACTGCTCAGGCACTTAATTCCATCCCTTTGCTCTTGTTAACACAATGTTTTAACTTATAGCTAACAAGAGCTGAAGAGTGGATACATGAGAAAGAGAAAACCTTTGATTTCAAATTGATTTTTCTTTATGACTTATCAACCCTTTGTGGGTTAGTAATCTAAAGCTGAAACATATTTTGAATTGAAGGGAGTTGCTTACAGTACCCAACGTTCCAAAGTGGTCCTCCACCTAAGTACTGACTGGGTTTGACACTACTTTGGTGATTGAACAAGAACCAGTATTATCAGTGCAATTTGACAGTAAATCTAATTCTGTTAAATAATGGAAAGTATTAACAAATGAACCTACAGCCACATAGTGCCCAGGTGATTCCAAACTAACTGAAAATTAACTTTGCTACCCTCACCACAATACAGTGTTGAAATTTGTGCTCTTTCAACTCCATGTGTAGAATATACAGCTGGTTCCCTCAAATAGTTTTTCACCAACAAGTTAGTTTCTGATCCATGCCATTGTTCAATTTCTGTCTGCATTGATGGAAACCAAACTTAGAAGAGCCTAGTGTAAATTCAATGAAGAATCTGAAGGCAAAATGTCATATAGATAGAAAATTTTAAGTCTAGAATATGACTTGTTGAAGCTCTGAAATTACCCAGCATAAATTCCAGAGGCAAATGAATTATGTTGGGTCTGATAAACTGGATAATTTATTCATGGATAAGTTCCCCTGGCACTGTTTGAGGGTAGGTAAAGATCTTCCTTTCAGCCAGTGAGAACTCCATCACTACATCATTTACTCTAACTTCCCATTCTGACTGCACATATATAAGCCTATGATGGAAATGCTCTACGTTCCAGCTAAGTGTCACTTGATCCCAAATGTTATTTATTTCCTTACTTGTGGAGAGCAGGTGGTTGCTTTGAAATTGTCACATTGATTTTATTATTTTCTGTCATAAAACTGTGGTCACTCCAAACCCAAATAAAATCATCTACAGTCCATTTGACTGTGCATGTGTTCTTACCCAAGCAAGCAGGGGACTATGCACTTGGTCAACAGGTCACTACCAAATATGACATAATGTTAAGGCTTTAAGTGGTTTTAATGGCAATACCATGGAAAAGTTACTCAAGCTTCATTAGCACTTTCCCTTTTTGTGGATGCCCCAACACCTTCCTGAAGGAGTGGAACTGCCTGGGGGGATGGCCCCCTGGGTTTTCTTAATGTTATTTTGAAACTATGAAGCTGGGTAAGGTAAGAACAGCAAATATACAAAGATTTTAACATCCAAACAATGTTAGGTATTTTTTTATGATTGGCATAAAGTTTTCTAGAAAAAAAAAAGAAGTTGAACATGGATTTGAAAAATAAAGAAAAAATTAAGAAAATGTGCTAAATAAATACATAATTATTTTAAAAAGGTTTGATTAGTAGAGTAACAATTATTGTCTTTTACCACAACTATCTGGATTGTTATAGGAATCATCATTATTTACTAGTTTAATATTGATGTTAAAGAAATAACACATTTAAGTAAAATGCTTCTTGACTATCAAATTAAGCTCAAGTAAAATTAAGATAATTGATTCTCTGCTTTGTTTCATTGTAATGAAAGCAAGCATCATAAATTATTTAATATATAAAAACATTTGGCAAACTTGGACCATTATGCCTGCAAAAAAATGGAGTGTCAAATGTACGTTTTTTTCCATTGATATTATTACCATATAAGTTAGTGTACAAGGCAACCTTTTATAGGGGGCTGTCTTATACTCCAGGTATAAAATGTTACCATAAACCACAGGACTTAAGGTTAAGTTGTTAGCAGGGAGGGGGTGTTGATGGTAGACTAACCCCTGCTACACCTCATTTTTTCAATGATGTTGAACCAAAGCACAACTGGATGTGTGTCTCAACAAGCAGATTAAAGACTGTATTCAAGAACAGTGGAATGAATGGATGGTTAGTGGGGAAAAGTCATTCAGGCTACCATAATAGCCTACCAAAAATGCAGCATGCACTCATGAGGTATTATAGATTGTGGTAGTTAATTGATAGTATCTCTCTCTTGTTTTTTCCTTAGAATTTGAGTGAAAAGAAAGTTTATGCTTATTGAATTTATTTAATAAATCCAATACATTTAAAAATATGACAGAGGGTGGGTAGGTGATCTTGTACAATGAATAGAACCCGAAAGGTACATATCAACTTAAAAATTTGTGGGTCATTTTTATTTGCCCAGCTGCCTATATAAGGTATATACGACCAGCATATATGGTATTTTACCTACCTTCACTCTTTGGCAATGTTTATTGTTTTAAAACAATAATTAGAATTGTAATAAAACCTAAATGAATGAAAGTGAATTTATATTTTTTTTTGTTTGTGAGAATAGACAAAAAAATATTAAACACTTTATTATTAGATTGTTTATTTACAAGATGAATTTTATATTTACAACATTCTAAAAACCAATACAATGCAATATTTATCATTTACTAAATTCTAAAAATATGCAAACCAACTATAAGGAAATTCTTATTTACCATTTTATAAATTTCGAATTGATTGGTAATTTAGCTGATGTTTTGCTAACCATTTCAATAAACAATTTAATAAAGTTTTTAAAATTTTTACTGTAAATTTTCAAGAACAAAGAAAATGCATAAATTCACTTTTATATGTCTAAGTTTTATTAAACTTATAATCATTGCTTTTTAAAACTGTTATATACCATACATATGAACACTAATGGGTATGTCCCAATCCTAATAAATATTTTGGGCACTATTGTAACTGGGGGGTAATATGCTGTCTAAACTGGCAGCGTGAGCTACCATAGTGGGAAGCTCTTGCCGTGTTGAACTCTCTGCCTTTGGGCAGAGAGGATCCCGGATGAGGCTATGCCAAAGGGCAGTCTCTCATCCAGGGAGGTAGACAGATACCATATATGCAGGGTCTAAAGGCAATTTTTGCCTGAGCCCATGGGCTCAGATTTCCTTGTGGGAAGGCAGGTAAATATTGTAATATGATGTCTAATTAGTTCACCACTAGCAATGGGTTACCTACTTCATGCCAATGGCAAGTATTGTATTTTGTTGATGTTATAAAGATTACTATTTCATTTCCAACCTCCATTTTGATATTCCTCAATTCAGTAACCTTTTCTAGGTTACAACAAAAACAATAAACATTTCTGAGGAGTGAAGGTAGTTAAAATAATAGCAGTGTCAAACTAAAAATTGTTCAGTATCTGTCTATTTCTGAGATGAGGTATTATGTACATTATTTACATTGTTCGGACTATTGTCCTCATCTTTGTAGCCATATTACAATGTTTCGGCCGTTGTACACTCCGGCCTTCTTCCAGAGTGTACAATGGCCGAAACTTTGTAATAAATATGGCGACAAAGATGAGGACAATAGTCCGAACAATGTAAATAATGTAAAAATCGTTCTTTTTAACGCTTCATCTTTTTGCAGGCAGAAAGGTCCAACATTGCCAAACATTCCTGGTAAATTAAAATAATTTTAATATATAAAAATCAGTCTTAATTCAATGATAATTTCAAGTCTTGGAAATCGAACTGAAATATTTCATAATAGCTCTTACTTTCTGAGATGCTGCAGGAGATCTTTGAGTGTTTCTCGATGGCATTTTGGAAATGAATAGATCAGTTCTTTGTAATTCCTCAAACGCTCATCTGATTTCATCCTAAACTCGCATTCTGGAAAAGAAAAAGGAAAAAAATTGCAAGAAACAAAAAAAAAAAAAAATCAACTCCCCAAATTTTCCTTGGCCTCTGCTGTGAGTTTCATAATTACTGGATGACTCATTATAAAATACAAGCTGCCTAGTGGCTAAAATAATAGTGAAATTCTGACTAAAGTTGGTGTTCAAGACCAGACAAAGGCCAGGATTTTAGTACAACGTGAGGTTAAATAATAGAGGCAGAAGATTAGATTAAACTTGGGTTATTAAGCAAAGTGATGTGCAGACAGTGTTATGCCAAGTTCATGATATTCACTTATGTGCAAATACCCTTGGAAAAGGTATGACTCAATCTCTTCTCCTCCAGCTATGGGTTAAATAGTAGGTAAGCCTGGGCCATTTCTGGGGATGCATTGGTCCATGAAAATGCAGGGGTGCTGAAATTCTTCAGTTGTGTGTGTTGCGCATTCTGTGGCAGGCAAAGAAAGCATTTGCTTTCTTATTGAACAAAAACAAAGTTAAGGATACTAGACTTTTTAATTAATATTTAAGCTTTATCTCCAAATTGATGGGGGTGGTAAGTCTGCTCTCATGAAATGAGTGGAGGTTCAAGTGCTTGTGCTTTATATAATTGTAGGTTTTTCATTGATACTATTTTTAGCAGTTTTTGGGTTCATCTAAGAAGACATTAATTTATTAAATGTCTCAAAACAAGCAAGTCCATTTCCATTTGAAAGGAAGATTGTGTTGCTCCAATCTATTACCTAACACTCACTTTGAACTTGTCTTTCTAAGATAAGCTTAGTACCTTTAGATCCTAAGCTGGGGAGAACTTTTTTTTCTTTTTTTCAGGAAACTTTCCAACCCCTACCTAATGTATTTGTTTATTAATTTTGCACTTTTTGAATATTTAACCCATTAACATTCACAAAGTTTTGCTGATATATGTGTGTGTGTGTGTGTGTAAAAATAAATAGAAAATAGGAAAGAACTCGTTAGGTAAATAATCCAAAGTTCTTTAGTATTTTTGTTATTATTTTTAAAAAATAGTGCTCGATACAAAAGTAGAGCATAAATATAATTATTTATTTAAAAATATGATTCCAATGCTACATAAGAGTTCTCATGTTTCAAAACAAGAGCCGAAAACTTCAATTCAATTATTTAAATTGAATTAAAGTACTAAGTTCTGTTCCATCTTCAAGCGAAATTTTTACTGGAATAACTTGTTCCTGAAATTTACGTGTTTTATAAGCATATAGTTTTAAGTGCTCAATAACAGGAATAGAGTATATGTATATATAAAAGTGGACATTGAGACGAACACCCAGTAAAAAATGAAATTATAAAATTTCAAAAAAATTAGTTAAAAAAAATGGAAAAAATAAAGCAGTGTATTTTTTAAATTGATGCCAGGAGGATGGGAGGGGGGGGTCAAAGAGAAAACAAAAGGAAGCAGAAAATAACTTACTAGCAACTTCCATAAATTTTTCAAATTTATTGAAGGGAAACAATGGTTCCTTTAATTCTCTGAAGAACAACTTGAGGGTCCCTGTCAGTGTATGAATGTCCCAACATTCATCATCCAAATTGTAATGTGAATTGGTACTCACTGGAATAAATTTAAAAAACAAAGCATTAATTAAATGAAAATCAAAACCATTAAAATAAAATACAAGCTACAATTACTTAATAAAATTGTTTTAACATTTTTACACAAGGTATTCTCGGGCCTGTCATCAGAGTGTTTTGAGTGGAGGAGTAGGGGCTTAAGTTAAGTGGGGTTCCTTCCAAGCTCACCAAAAGTGCACTGGATACAAATCCAGGACATTCTCTATCCTGTTGGAGGAACTCCTTTCTGATTGACCATGTATTTAAGAGTGTAGCTATACTTGGTCAATTATGGGTTGGTGAGGTTATTTAACCTATAGTTGGAGGTTTTGAATTCAGAACTGCCGTCCTTCTAGACCAGTTGCCATCCAAAGCTATAGGACCCAGTCTGCCCTGTTATGTAACCCATAGGTAGTGGTGGGGAGTGAAGAAGAGATGGATGCATACCTTTCCCAAGGCAATTTACATGTAAGTGAATTTAACAAAATTCTCGACTGGAATTCAAACTCGCCTCTCTGATTCCGCAATCCATTACTCCACTCTGCCACCACAAGTTAAGAATTCGTACATTAAAATTAGTTCACATTTTCAATAAGTCGGGGTGGGGGTTATTTTTGTTAGTGTGTGTATGGATGGGGGCAGTTGTTACTTGAAAAAAAAAAAATATGTGATGGATCTGAGGATCCTACTCATTGTATTACCATGTTCAGATGAATTTGTTTTCTTTGATTTGCTTAGTTGTCTTGTAGCTAGGTTAGTGAGTTGAACAACATTTCAATCCATGTTGGGTTATTTAATAAAGACAATGAATTGTCAAAAAGGCAGACTTGAATCCAGCCAGCACCAGAATCTAAAATCTTATGTAGGATTTATTAAACTTTCATTGATTCTAATAATTACACAGTGACTCAGAAAGTTTACTTTATACCAGTCTGCAAGAATCTACTTAGAGGATACTGTGAGCATATGCTAAGCCCCACTGTCAGGATAGACTTTCTTGTTTTAACATTTTGGCCAATATAAACTCGTCAGTAATACTTTTTCTATGTACCATGTCACTTCAGGATGTAGGCGACCATGGCTCTCCACAATTTCCTGTCCTTTGTAGCTCTTAATAAATTTTAATTTTTTGTTATCTCTCCTTATCTTATTTAAATGTATTTTCAGTTCAAATTATCATTCTTTACGCCAGTATCAAAAGTAGGTGTGTCAGAAGGATTGTCTTTCTCTTGATACCACTATTACTGTGTACTCTGTCAGTGTTGTAACCTAGAAAAGGTTACTGAATGAGGAATAACCAAAACGGAGGTTGGAAATGAAATGGCAATCTTTATAACATTAACAAAATTCAATACTCGCCAGCGGCATGAAGTAGGTAAACCACTGCTAGTGGTGGACTCCTTAGACAGCATATTACCCCTGCTTACAATAGTGCCCAACGTATTTATGAGGATTGGGGCATACCTATTAGTGTTCATAGGTATGGTATATAATAGAAATTTTTATTGTTTTAAAAAGCTATTTTTAGAATTTTAATAAGACTTGACCATGAAACTGAATTTACTTTGAGATATCTTTGATTAAAAACCCACAAGAATTTTTGCTTGTTTATTTTTCTATATTTGAACCAGTGCAAACAAGGCAATGGTCGGCAGGTCGAAACAAGAAATTGGTGAGTCAAGTTCAAATTACAGCCAAGTTTATTATATTCATGTTATGATATTCCAAGTAGGGGTTGCAGTTCTGTGCAGTCAGTATTAGTTCTACAGTCCAAGACAATTGCCGCTACCTTATGTAGCAAGCCGATAAATAACATCTATTCCTAGGCATATGCTAATTAGTGGTAGCATTAACCAACCCCTACTTGAAGTGAATAGGCTTTATGCTCTTCATTGATCCCAAGCTTCTTCATCTATTTTGATTTTCTTCTCTCCTCCTCTCTAGAGATCTGTGTGTATTTCTCTCTTGTTGACATCCTGTTCTTTACCAATGTGGCTTGAATTGTCCAAACTGTTTTGGTCTTCCATTGATTCCTCATCAGTAATCTACTGTTGTTTTACAGCATCCAAGCCGGACTTGCTTCCTAGCTCAATTTCCATATTTCCTTGGTATTTTTATCTGGATTTTATTTGATCAGCATGGGCAAGAAAATTTTTGCTCTTTTTAATTAATTTTCTTACACAAAGTTTTTATTTTTATTTTTTTTTAATTAATGGAGTATGCCATAGTTGTTGGAGTTCTAAACTGTCTCCCAATTAATTCAGACAGACAGACTTTCTAATCTGTCAGCATGTGGTATAGTTTTTTAACCAAGTAATAATCTTGGAAAGAAACTATCAATCTAATCTTGTTGAGGAGAAAATGTTCTCAATCCCATTTTTATAGTCTGTATCGTTCTTTCTAAAATTCCATTTGATTGTAGATGATATGGTGGGCTTTTATACGGGTGGCATCTAATTTTCCTTAACCAAGAACAGAGACTTTCATCACAAAATTCTGGTGCATTATCTTACACAAATGTTTTTGGTACTCCATTTCTAGCAAATATTACAGGTAATATTTGCCTTATCGTACTAGTATTCCTAATATGAACAACTTCAGGCCAGCCAGAAAGAGTCAACCAAAATAAAACACTGTCCCACACTGTTAATGTGTACATGGTTCATATGAATATGAGATGAAGGCTTTGTCTCCTTAGGCCATGTGTGTACTTTATTCTGGTAAAAAAAAATTATTTTAGTACATTTTGAACATTTATGCATGTGATTTTTTTTTTTTTTTTTTTTTTTTTTTTACATTGCATGCATATCCAGGCCACCACTTCTAATTTCAAATGCTTCTGTGTATCTATAATTCAACAATGCACATCATTATGCACACCTATCATTACATCTCTTTTACACCTTTCAGGTGGTGCTACTAAATCTCCATTACATACAACGCCATTTTCTATTGACATACGTCTCATTTCTTTGCATGGGTTTCTGAGGCAAATCACTTTATTGGTCAAGTGTCAGTTTCTACCCTGTGCTAAAAATTCTTCTTCCATATTTTCTAATATACTGTATTTTGTCCCCTTTTAAAATGTAATCTGGATAATGCATCTATATGAGGAATTGCAGTTCCTTTTACATATTTGATATAAAAATCAAAAGCCATCAGCTTTATGGCCCATCCTAATATTCTAGATGATGTAACATTCGGGAATTTCTTCCTCAGGTTAAAAATGATTTCTAGTGGCTTATGACCAGACTTCAAGAATTTTTTGCCCATTAAAAAACTGACAAGCCCTACTAGTATTCCAAACTATAGCTAGAGCCCTCTTTTCTATATCTGAGTAATTAGGTTCAGTTAACATTAATGCTCTGGAAAGATACATAACTGGGTATCCTTCCTGGGCTAAGATTGCCAATATGGAATTTTTTACTAGCATAGTTAATGTAACATACTTTTGAGGGTTACAAATTTTGGTAAGAGGTATTTTTGCAAGAGCATTTTTTTAAATTATTAAATGCTGTTTGCTGTATATTAGTCCATTTAAATTCATTGTTCTTTTTATGCAACTTGGCAAATGCTTGAATTAGTGCTCAATATTTGGATAAGTACTTTTAAAAATCACTAAACCTAAAAAGGATTCTAATTTTTTTTTTTTTTTTTTAAGAAGTGACACCTTTACTATTTTCTGTGTCAAACTTAGGTCAGGTGAAATTCCATCTCTTTGAAATTTGATACCCAAGATATTTTTTCATAATTAAATATACATTTATCTTTAATAGCCAGATATCCTTAGTCTGTTTAATACTTGGTTAGTTTTTCATTTCAACTTTTCTTCATTGGTTTGTGGGGTCACTCATATCAAAGCATTAGAAATTAGCCTTGTGTTCACGTAGATAAAAACATACACAGATAACAAGAAAACATGGTAAATTGAAAGTTTAATTTCATATAATTTATTTATTTTTGTCTGTAAATGTTTCATGGTACATGCAATGAGAGGGAGAAGTTACTTTGCTCTGTAACATGGCATGTAATAATACAAAGTTGGTCACATGTTGACTGTCCAAGGGTTTGTGGCAAAGAGATTGAATTTAATGTCTTTTGGCGGGATTTCCATATTTCTGGCAGGAACAATTTTTGTTGCATGCTGAGAGTATTTTTATTACTCTTTATTTTTTATTACTCTTTATTTTTTATTACTCTTTATTTTTTATTACTCTTTATTTTTTATTACTCTTTATTTTTTATTACTCTTTATTTTTATTACTTTTATTTTTATTAAAGAGATTCTTTTATTTTTTTTTATTAGGAACAATTTTATTTTTTATTACTTTTATTTTATTTATAAATTTTATTTTATTTTCATTTATTTATGATATTAATAATGTCCTTATACATGAAACTGAAACATATCATCTTGCTATATTATCCTATTTTTTATATCCCCTCTTAGAATGTTTTTTTATTGTTTTCTGAAAGATAGTACTTGCTGTTTTTACCCCATAAGTCATACAAGTCCATCTAAGCAGTCCGATTGGTGAGTTAATAGTGATGATTTCCTTAAATGACCATTCAGCTTTCTTATAACTACTATAGGTGATGACCATTTACTTTTATCAGTATTGCTGGTATTTTTACTATAAAAAACAGGTGCTACTACCTCATTCAGCAAAGAGATTCAGTAAACTCAATACTATTATATCTACTACTACAAGGTGTAAACAAACAATATAGTATAGCCAAAATTTAGATGAGAGAGAAAGTAGTTATATGACCAGATTTGAAACTTGCTTGTTTTATTAAAGAAATTAATTTAGATTGCATCTTCATTTAAGAAATTTTGATAATTTTTTAATCTTTTCAGTTTTATTTTTAACTGTACTAATTAACTGCCCAACTTTTAAAATTGAAATTTAAATAGTCCTTGAAACAACAGAATTAATTTCTTTGCGGTGAGGGCTGAGTATACTTTTAGTTTTCATATTGTTTTAAATCTTAAGTCTGTTATGTAATTCACATTCAACCACTGAGACTTGAACTTTATACACAGATTGCCACTGGCAAGATCACTATGACTATCCTCACAAATGACCTTGGAGAGATATTTTCTATGCAGAGAAAAATGTTGAAAAATTGCCAAGTTTTGGTGTCCATACAAACTACATTTGTACATTTTCAAAATTGGCAAAGAGATTTTAGAACATAGCAAGTAAAATGTTATCTAATAAATCCATTGTGATTAAACTTACATTTTTGGATATTAGCAGCCATTTTTTTTTTGTCAGCCATGTTTTTGTTTTCTTTTTTTATAACCTATTTTTATTAATCTCATTATCTGAACACAACAACCTTTCCAGTCTTGAATAAAACAACAGTTATTAAATTTCGAAGTATGTCACTAGATTAGTTATGCTTGTACTAAGAAAGATTATATGAACTGATGAGTTACTTATGTAGGATTTATTAAACTTTCATTGATTCTTATAATTACAGTGACTCAGGAAATCCTGGTGGTAGGAAAGAAATGACAAAAAGAAAACTCATAACTATTAAATTTTTATCTGAACTATTGAGATAGTAATTTATCATTACTAGCCAAAATTTGTCTTGCAAACATTTTTATTAATTTATTTATAATTATTATTATATTTTTATAATGAATTCTTCTCCTCTTCATTTCTTTCTTTCATTTTTTTTTCACTGAAACTAAGCAGCATCTATATCATTTCTGTGTTTTCATGCAGTCAAAATGGAATAGTCCATTATTTATGAAGTATTGGAAGGGAATAATGGTTGTGCTAAGTAAGAAGCAGAATTATTATATTATAATAATAAAAAATAATAACTAAAAAAACCTGTCTTGCAAACATTTTTATTAATAAATTTATTTGTAAGGGTTTAATGAGCTCTTCATTATGGTACCTAGACTTTTTGAATTTAAATGTAGTACTAGACTGGAGTCAAGATCTGATTAGATGGAAATTCTATGCTAACAGTTTTTCTCACAGTTCTTGCACGTGGAACTTCATTCTGGCTCAATGAATTCCAGTCAACTTTAATCTGCAAAAATTTAAATGCAATGTCAATTGCTATCTACTGTCTTCCTGATTACTCTTGTCTCTTCCCACTCATTAGTAATATTTCTGTTCCTAATTCTTTCACACCCAGTAACCCCCTTGTGTTTTAGTGGCTTTATTGCCTTGCTTTGAGTGAAATCAATTTTAAAAAAAAAAGTTGTATAAATGAAAACATTTGAAATTGACAACTTTTTCCATTTCACTGAAAGACGTTAAACACTTCTATCTTTTGTTTTCTCACTGAAACCAAGTAGTATATCTGGTATGTCATTTCTGTGTTTTCACCCTGGTCAAAACAGAATAGTCTATTATTTATGTGTTATTGGCCAGGTGTAACAGTCATGCAAACTAAGAGAAGGACAATCAGAATTATATGATTATACAATGACTTGCTTGGACTAGTAGCCTCATCTTTGTTGTTGTTATCCTTTAGGGAATTTAAAACTGAACTTTTTATTTATTTTTGGATTAATGTTTTCATCAGGTTTTCCCCATTATGCCCTCTGGCCTAATTCAGGTGTCTATTGATCCAGGTAAACTTTAAAGGATTTCAGAATGAACACTTTATTTAATCTACAGGAGTAGACTGTTCTTGTTCCACTGTCTAGGGATATATAGTCTTGTTCTTTTTTAGTACTGCTCAGTTATTGCTTAGGCTGTCATGCCTGGCCAAGGAAACAGCAAGACTTTAATCACTGATAGACCATGAAAATCCAGAGATGATATGCAATATGACAATAATAAAAAAAAATTTTAGAAGTTAAAATATTTTTGTGAGATAAGAATATCAAAGTCATTTTTCTACTTACTGTTGTCAATATTGATTCTTAACTTTTGAATTTCTGCAATATTTCCACTGACTCTGTAGAGACCATCCTGATCAAGTCCTCGGCGTTCAATACTGGTAATACAGTCTTTGACAAATTTTGGCACCAGTGTTTTCTCTTTTTTGCATAAATCGGTCAGCTTTGACCCAAATACCGTGCCTGAAAGAAAAAAGATAAAAGTTGATAAAATGAATATTAAAAAATGTATTAAATTATTAACAGATGCCATATTAGTAAAAATAATAATACTAATTAGTAATACCCATGAAAATTTCAGTTTTTCTATTTGAAATTTCTGATGTATATCATGAATAAATAATTTTATTGCAAGTTCCACATAAGCAAAATACTCATGGAAATTCCCTCTCTCTCGCCCCCTACATACACAGGGTGATTGAAAGTAAATCCCTATTTATGGATGATGGACTCTCCCATCTTGTAAAAATTATAGTTCGATAGGGGTGCCCATCATACATAAAATAGGGAGTTATTTTTCAATCACTCTCTCTTTTATATATATATATATATATATATATAGTTTTAAGGTGTACTATATTTATGGGATAAAGTGCTCAATGTCAGATAGTGTATGTGAATATAAATATAAAAGTGAATGTTGAAGTCAACTCAGAGGCGACAGGCTGTTTCATGCTAGACTCAATCGTCAGGCCTATATATAATCAAATGAATCCTTTTACCTCACTCTCTTTTTGTGGATCAGTTCTAATATCCTCATATTACTAGGATCCACTTGAATTATATAACAACAGATTTTTTACCTTGCTATATATATATATATATATAAAATTAATTGATTTAAAATATGGTTTCTTTTCGCTACACAGTTCTAACCATGTTTCAAAAATGGAAGCTAAAAGCCACAAATTTAATTTTTGTGATTAAATCAAAGACATTAGTTCCATTTCATCCTCAAGCGAATTTTGGAGTAACTTTTTAAAATGGAAAGAGGATAGATCTCATCCCCATCTTCTTTTAAGAATAAAACAAGCAACTAGTAATCAGGCAAGAAAAAATAAGGTTATACTGAGGATAATAAATATTGTATACTTGAAGAAGTATATAAAACAGACTGATTGAAACATGATAATGATAATAAAAACAAAAAAAAAAAAGAGCTCATTTCTTGGAAGGAAAAAAAAAATGTATGCCTTATGAGCCATTTCCCCACAAAAACACATTTCCCAAACAAACAACATAAAAGACATACATGGTCCAACATCTGAGCCATCATCTGAATCATCCAAGTTATTAGAATCCATGGATTGGTTGTATCCTATTTGATAATTCCAGTTGTAAACATGATTGTAAGGGACATTGTAAGGTGTATTAGAGGCAACTCCCCAGTTTTTATAATAATAATTATAATAATAATAGACTCCTGGATAGGCTGGGTTGTAAGCCACATTATTGGACATGCTGGACTAAAATAAGTAATTCTAGATGATGAAGTAAATTAAAAAAAGATTGCTTAGCAGCCGATCTGTGTTGTTGACAGTAGAAGGATTTGTGAACAGTCTGATCATTGTTCATCATATGATTATTGTATAAAACTTTAGAAATGTTTTCAGAGCCTTGAACATCTTAAACAATAATACAATAATATCAATCACAAATAAAACACTTGTGTATGCAACTGGTATCATTAGCTAAAACTGTGTTTCAATGCTAGTGGATTAAGATAATTGATTTCTAAATAGCAAGGTTAAACCTTATCAGAAAATAGCCAAGTTTATGATCTATGCACTGAACCCATTGATGGTATTCACCAATTGATCTTAGGTAAACTATATATAAACAAGAATTCAGTATACTTATATACAGAATGAGTAAAAAATAACGTCCAGATTCTGGGAAGTCATGTTAATTTGACTTGCAGATTATTAATTTTAATCATTTATTCTTTTTGATCATGTTTTCCTGGTTATTGCTGAAAATGAAATCAAGTGCTACTTTTGACACCCCTCTGCCAACTAATATATATATATATATATATATATATATATATATATATATATATACACACCAGGTGTTACAGTATAATTGCCCATTCTACAAAATCTTTAATATCTAAAAAATCACTAAACTAATTGAGTTACTTTATTCCAGGTTTTCAGATAAGACATTTAGCCACCTTCACACCATTTTTTGTAAGAATCACTGAAAAACCATTTGAGTTATTTAGCTAAGCTAAAAAGAGAACCGGTTAAAATCATTTTGTGTCAGACCCACTGTCATCCTAACTGAGCAATGGTGAGAGGAAAAGATTATTCAAGCCTTCAGTAATGATACCAGCATACATACTCTGGTTTCCATCTTCAAAGTCCATTCAAGAACCATCAAGAGAACAGTGAATAAGTTTAATAAAGAGGGAACAGTAGAAAGGAAAACTGGATCAGGAGGTCACAACAGGAAGAGGGGTCATCATTTCAACTTAGATCTTTTCTAATTGATCTCTTTAGGTCAAACTCGATTCATAAGATGTTTGGTACATGAGAGAGGAGTTTCAGCTAAGACAGTCCAAAGAGCAGTGAAAAAAGAAATGAAAATGAAATCATGTGTGAAGATTCTTCTTTGGATCTTATCAAGAAGCTCAAGGTAAATGGCAAGGGCACTGGATGAATGGTAGATATAGATATTTAAGATGATTCTGGAGAGAAAAACTGTCTCTCCCATCATAGTGAACTGACTCTTAGCAGCTGACCTGGCAATGGATTCAATATAATCATTCTACTTCATATCAGCAGAGAACGTGACCAAGGTGCAATGAGTCACTTTTCTGGAGGATACCATCAACCATGCAAATGGTAGGCACAGAGGAATCACTCAGATGATTAATAAAGAGAAGTTTAGTTTTGGAGGATTTAAAATTAACAAGCCATCTTTTGCCCCATTTAACAACGGACTTGAGGTCGTTTTGGACATCAGCTTCTATTTTGATTTTGTCAGATTTTCCAAGCATAGCTTAGATGTGGCACAAGGCCGAAATTAGAGGGGCACCCAGTGTTATGATGTTGATTTGGGGTTAGTAGAGACAAACGCCAAATAACACGTAACAATAAAAAGGGTTTTAATAGGTTGGTAAGAAGGTACAGAAATCACCTGAGTAGTCAATAACTAGCTCGGCTAAGAACTTCTATCTTCCATGTCAACTGACATGCCACTATTTAAAGTCTTTGTTCACAGACGCAGACAAGTTCATCTTCCAGAGGGGTGGTAGGTTTCCGACACAACACCCAGTGAGAATCGAACTCACTACTCAGCCATAATTGTTCTAGCGAGACAAGCTTGATAACCATTACACCACCTCGAGGTGCCCTTTGATTTTCCAAGCTTAGATGTGGCACAAGGCCGAAATTAGAGGGTACCCAGTGAGGATCGAACTCATTACTCAGATCGTAATTGTCCTAGCGAGCCAAGCTTGCTAACCATTACACTGCCTTGAGGTGCCCCACTGATAAGCCTTAGTATTGAGGCATGAGTAAACTATATTATTTGTAAATATAGAGAAAAATGAATGATGCAACCAAAAAAAAGTGGTTATATATTTAAATGAATATGAAGAAGTATTACGACACTATTTCAGTTTCAATGAAAATAAGCTATCAAGTATACAAATACACTTCATAACATCTCGAGAAAGAAAAAAAAATGAGCCTGATAGAATACAAATAATACAGGGGAGATAACTCTTGTATCTCGAAATATTTATTTTAACTTTTCAGTTATTGCAACTCTCGGAGGTTCCATCATTAGTAAGAAATTCAAATAATATTTCTGCTTGTATGTCCGTTGAGTTTAAAAAGAAAAAGAAATTTTATAAATTATAACTGTTCTAAATAAAAATAAAATTATAGCAATAGTTGTATCAATTTGAATTAACAGTAAAAAGGTGTTATCATTGCTTAAAGAATGTAAAAGATCTATAAAAAAAAGGCATGTGAGATCTATAAACAACCAGACACACACAATTAAAAATGAATGGTTGTTAGTTTATTTATTTTTAAAATGACATGTCCATTTAGGATGTAGGCCAGTGTTTCTCAACCTTTTTTTACTTCAGGGATCACTTGAATAACTAAAATTCTGGGGTGCATTTTAAATTTTACTAAGAAAAAAATAAATCATGAAATTTGAAAATAATAAAGTCTGCTGAAATAAGTATTTATTCTTAAGACATTAAATTGTATATTTAAGCGGTGCAGTTATTATTTAAAGAGATTTATGAAGGATCTGCTATTTCTTCTAGTGATGCTGATAATGACTGATTTAAATCCCTTGAGGAAGGCAAAATGGAAATGATTGTCTACTTAAAGATTAAAGAATTTAGTATCCAGTTTAAAATATCAAATGACAAAGACTTTACTTAGACATGGCAGTCATATTCTTGGCATCTCCAAGCTTTTTTAAAAATGATTTTTTTTTTTTTTTTTTTTTTTTAATATAAAAATAATTAATAAATTACTCTTCTTGGTGCATTAGTGTGCCTGTTGTGAAACGGTGAGCGAGACAGTCATAGCTAGCTACCCATACTTTCTCATTCTTTAAATATTTCTGAATTGCCATGATTGTTGCAGTGAAAGATAATGGTTCCTTGTTTCCTTCTCTATAGTTTGGAATTTAGAGTTGTTCTCTTAGAATGGTTACCATCCCAAGCCAGAGCCCAGTATCTACCTATAGCTAGGAAGAAAACAGATGGATTCAGGCCTTTTCTAAAGGCCTTAATGTGAATAGAACACAAAAGCGTAGCACAGAATTTGAACTTGGCCAGCCAATACCATCTTCCTTGATGATAACCATTATGGCAACTGCACAAGTTATTTATAGTACAACTTTAGAATAGATGTTAGATAGAGAGAAACAGGAACAACTAATAAATAGTCACTTTTTGAACAATTGCTTCTGATAACACAGGTTTTAGTGTTTCAAGTAAAAGAAAAATAACAGAAGGCAGTAAATCCTTTTACACTTTTATATATCATATGCTTTATTTTCCTCTTAGCTATGACACATTAATATTTTTTTGCCATGTTAACAAATATTTTTATTTAGACAAGTTATAATTTATAAAATTTCTTTTTTTAAACTCAACGGACATACAAGCATAAATATTATTTGAATTTCTTACTAATGATTGAACC